CAACTATCTAAAGACTGACTCTATCTCCTGACAGTGGGGATTTGAGTAGGTAGGACAAGCAAAAGTGAAATAACAGATCACTCAAATGTTCCATTTTAGACACTAAAGCCCTTTTGCCTTGACAAGGTATTTTTGCTTAATTTTCGGTTTAGTCTTGTCAATTACATGCAAAATGATGTTTTAATGAAAACAATTTATAGATGTGCAATACACATAATTTATTAAAAATACTGTGATCTTACCTTCAACAGTACCTTCTCTGGGGTTATATAAATTAGCAAGATAGCCTTGCTTATCTGGCAGATGAAAGGTGACTAAATTCTCTGACAGATTGCTAAGTGGAGTGAGACAAATAAAATCTTGAGAGCTTTGAAAAGAAATGGTTGCTTGGTCCCAAGAAGTTCTTTCTTTCTCGGTTGTCCTTATTCTCCACTTTAAGACCTTTCATTCTGGAAGATTTCTTGCAATCAAATTCATCTACTAGAATATCCCTATCATGTAGCAATCTTTTACTTTATTTCTTCCCTCCATATATAGTACACTCATATATAAAAATTGTTTCCTTTTTTAGCAATGTCTTCAATTAAATCATGTTCTTTTATCATATCAATTTGTGGAAGTACTTTTAGCAAAGTTATGTATGGAACATTTAAGGTCTGTCTTTCAGAGTTCTCCCAGAGTCCTTGCCAATCTATCTATCTAACTATCTATCTATCTATCTACCTACCTACCTACCTACCTACCTACCTACCTATCTATTACTGGGGATTGAGCTCAGAACCTTGCCATTACACCACTAAGCTATCTCCCTGGCCCTCCAATCTGCTTTTAATTTACCGAAGTCCTCCCTCAGTGGATAAAACATGACCAACAGAGACTTAATGTATACAATGTGTATTTGCTTTGTTTATGCTCATCTTTATACATATACAGACATTACCATGTAAGAAATGTGGAGAGTAAAAATTCAAAGAAATATTTAAATGCACTATGATACATAGATACATGGATGTAATACTTTATGTACTGGATAAATATTTCATCTCTACCATTAAGAAAGCTTTTTATCAACTTTGATTGTTGTTTTGTTACCTTAAAGTATTGCAGTTGTTTCTCAGCACTCATTGTTCCTTCCTTTTCTTGTCTCAGACAGGAATTGAAGATGAAAAGCTCTGTGTCTCTCAGCCACCCCTTCAGTTCTTTGATCCTGACCTCCAGCTGCCTTACCAGACTTCCGCTTTCAGGAGAGAGAAGGTCTCGTGGACCAGACCCATTGTACCCTGCCGTTGTGTCTTGTATTTTCTCTCTTAGAGTTTTCTAATGCAGCAGATTAAAAAACAAACAGCAACAAAACAAAAACATAGATTAGTTTAGGAAGCAAAAGAACATTATAACAAGAGTTACCTGAAAGTGCCCAGCTGCGCATTCCCTCTCACTTGTGACAATTCAGATCAGATTAGCTCACTGTTCAATTTGGGATTCAAATGCTTGTACAGTGCATGTTGTTCTGACTGCCAGTAGATACTTAGGAAAACCTCATTCACTTAGACCTTCCTGTAGCAGAAAAGGGATTTGGTCCAAAAGTTCAGTATGGTCACAGATAAAAATTCATTTGAATTCTCATGATAAGAATTTACAGTTAAAATTTCTATACATAGAATGCTTAAGAAATAGAAATCTGAATTTAATCAGTACACTACAGAGGCCAAAAATAGGCTTGCAGAGAATTAAATTCTTTTTGTTTTATGAAGTACAATTACTCAAACCATATGACAGAGGACTTTCAGAAAAAAGTAGCCTCCTTGGTGCTGTTGACTATTATTTGTCTTGGAAACTATTCAATCCCATAGTTCTTCCCATTTTGTATTTTGGATGATGTCTGTCTGTCTGTCTGTCTGTCTGTCTGTCTGTCTGTCTGTCTGTCTGTCAGGCTGTCTATCTATCTATCTATCTATCTATCTATCTATCTATCTATCTATCTAACCCTCTCAGTATATTAGAAGCCTACTTAGATTAACCACTATGACATGAAGATACCATCAAGCTGGTTTTCCATTTTTTTCTTTCTTTTTGTTTGAAAGCACTCTCTTTGGAAAATCAATAGCATTTAATCTACTATGATAAGCTAACCCCATAAAAATAAGCTTTAAAACACAAGTAAAATTAAGTGAACAGATATTCATCTACTGTAGTATTCTGTAAATAGTATCTTTAGGAGATCATAACAGAAAAATAGCCTTTCTTGGCAACACCCTTGTATTTTCATGGTGCAAATATTGATAATTTGAAGACTCTCAGTGGAATCCAGATTTAGCTATTGTTTTTATGCTGTAACAAAAGTAGCAGCAGGAGGTGAAATCAATGCCCTTGGAGGGTAGGGTCACAAAAAAGAATTTATTGCCACTTTTTTGTTCGGGAACAGTTTGCAATCATAAATTCTTCATAAACAGAATACTTCAGAGAATGGTCCGTCTTCATAAATATACGACAGAGGACATCAATTTCATTTAATTCACAATTTGTGTCAGCACAGCAGATGCCAATGCCTGCCTTGATAGGGTTGTTTAATATGCAATTGAGACAGAGTAATATGCAGCACAGGGGACAAAATTTCACAGATTAAACTGTACGCACCACTGACATTTCATTCTAATGTATTTCCATTCCACACTGTTCACCTTAGATGAAAGTAATATTAAAAACCATATCCTTCTATTTTACTATTGTTGGAAGTAAAATTCTTGTCTTTAATTTTTTTTCATGCCAATTAAAATGTAATCATGCCAATTAAAACAGTGTGCCTGGTGGTGTTAGCATGGCACAGGTTTTGCTAATATCCTTCTTCTACCTTACTGTCTCCCCAAATCATTACAAAACTGAACACTGTATTTGAATGGTAGTGTTGTGAAAATGGTAACTATTTTTGAGGTAACTGGTTCATAAACATTGTTAAATAGTCTTTCATCAATATAAGGTTGATTTGAAATGTTTGTTGTGGCAGTGACATACATAATGTTCTTTAAAGACTTTTCTAAAATTATCAAATTAGCACAAGATATATTAAAATACAATATAAACTATGCTTTATCTGTCAAGCATATAGAGTTGTTCTTTTTACTTAGTAAACAACCTTTTAAAATGTCACATACCAACCACATTTTCTTGTCTGAGCTCAGTAAATTCTGTAGAATTTAGTAAGTTCTGATATAAATCCAAACACATAAAGTAAAATACATTAAATATTATTAAGAGGCAATGTACATACAGTTAAAATAAGAACTTTTAACATTTTAAGTTACTTTGTACAACTGCAGAGTGAAGAGAATTTAGATGAGAAGCAAGGACTTAAACTTGCAGTTTTTTAATCATCTAGATTAAGCATGGCATAAACTGAACACTGGCATTTCTCCAAGTCATCAAGATACATGGAGAGCTTCTAATTCAAAATGTTTTTGGAATATTATTTCTTTTCAAATTTTTTTAAAGAGGCAGAAAACTGGAAAGCCTGAAAAATTATACTCCATAACTGACACCACCCATACTTAGCTGTTATAATTAATCATTTAGGTAATTGACAAATTTAGCTTACCCTTGATTTGAAGTGAAGGCAATTTAGGAGAGAAGCTGATGAAAACTACAAGTTAACTTCTCTCTCTGTGCTGTCTTCCAGAAAGAGGACAGCAGTGTCTCCTGAACAGTGGCACCCTGGCCTCTGGGTGACAGAATCTCCACATTGCCTTTGCCTTTTACCAATCCTTGCATCTCAGGGCTTGGCAGAGAGTTAGCCCATCATTTGCATGAAATGAATTACATGAAACTTTTTTTGTTCTTTTGTTCAAAGTGAGTTGGAAACTGAGGCACGAAGCAGATGTTAATCTAATTCTACCATTCAGTTTTGGGTCAAATTTGCAGCTTTGTTTTGGTGGTTTTATTGTGACTTGAAAGCTGTAGTGACAGCACCACTTTTCTTCTTAAGAGTACAGTAAATAGTTAAACAGTGGATGTCTCTAACATGTACCTTCAGAATAAATTCTATTAACATTCATTCAAGCATGACAGTCAGTGTATATCAGATATACTGTATTATAGTTGACTTGGTGCATTCCCATAATACATGGCATATTTTACTTACTTTTTCATGTATTAAAGAGCCAAAATTATTAAAATCTGAGAGGAGACAAGCTCAGAATTAAAAAAAATCAACAGAAGAGAAAAAGCAGTGCTTTCCCCATAATAACATGAATAGCTTGTTTGAAATGTAGGTAGTGAATTGAAAGAGAGAGATATTTGTGCCTCAAATTAGAAATCAGACAGATAGAGTACTTCACTACACAAAAAATGTACACATAACCTACAAACAGTAATAAAAATGCAAATACCCCAAGCAGTTCCCATTTTTCATTAATTGAATCCACTTTTTCAAGGAGATCGTTTGGTAGTAAAACGCCACCTTTCTTCAAAGCTTCAACCTTACTAAGCAGCTCTGTCTTTTTCAGGTGTCTGATGGACATTTCCACACTGTATCGCTGAAATAAAAACAGAAAGATTATTATTAGAGAGAGATGTTCTTAGAAAATCTTTAAACAGAGTTTGTAATGCTTGTGGGTGTAAAAGTTATTTTTCCAGTAAAATATATGGAGACTCTATCCCTAAGTTCCTGAGTGGTCGATACATATTTCTGGAAACACTTTAAAAATTTGTATTACAGCTGGGTGTGGTAGAACATGCCTATTACAGCTATTAGGGAGACTAAGATGGGAAGATTGAAAGTTCAAGGCTAGCCTTAAAATAAAATTTAAAATCAAAGGCTAAGGCTATAGATCAATACCTTCTGGGTTCAAACCCCAGTACCATATGGGAAAATATGTATTAAACACAATTTAAGTTATTGCATTGAATTGACAATGATTCCTGTCTTTCACAACTAAGTTTATATACACATCTTCTTACTAATTTAAAATACAAATATAGGAAGATTCCTGGTACGGAGAATTTAATATTAAAGTTAATTTTGGTTGACATTTGACTCTAGAGTGATGCCCACCTCTCTTCTTTGTCCAAAAAGAAATGGTCTTAGAGTAGTCCAAATAAAAGCACCCATAAAGATAATGAGACTTATTTATTATCCTGTAAATTTCCTGGGTTAAAGAAGATATACATAGAGAGAGAGGAAAAAAATCCTAGTGCTCTGAGAATGATTATAAACTTACATTCTTTGCTAATTACTACAAGATTTCCCCAAATATCACTAGTGATTATAGAAGCTCTACTTAATATGATAGCTACTACAGTGATTCTCTTCAGATAACTTCAAGAAAGGCTTGAGAATGTCTAATATAACTTTGGCTGAATTTTTAAATGTATATATGAAAACACCTATAAGCAGAAAAATTATATTCTGTCTAAAATATTAAGGACACTTCACATTTTTAGTACATTTTCAAAATATATGGGCAGCTCCAAAATATATTTATTGATGCACCAAAGATAGGTCACTGTGTTCCATAGAGGCATTGCTCCCTTGTCCTAAAGAAACCTGGTTGCCATAACATAAGTACCCTTATCAGCTTTAATAAAAAAAGCTTTTGTCCAGACAAAGAAGTGTTAACCAGCAAATTTAAAATATTCCCAGGAACTTTAGTAATTTTATTCAACTTGAAAACATGATAGTGTAAAAAATCTCAAAGTAGAACACAATTAGAAGAAACTTCAAGGAAAAGAAGGTATGAAATCATTATTTCAGTTAATAGATTTTCAGTGTTTGTGTGCATATGTTTGCATACTTTCAGCTTCATATTTTAATCTTTCATTTACACTAAACATGCACATCATTTGTATTATGTAAACTTTTCCAAATGTTAGTCATTTGTGGATCACAGAACAAAATGTTTTAAATGAAGTGATTTCATATTATTAATGAATGTTGATCAGGGTGTCACAGTATCCAAAATTACATGAATATGCATAGTGAAGAAAATCAAGGATTATTTTAGAATGTTTTCAGAATTTGGCCTGTGATACATGGAAAACTGATTGCATTTTCTAACAGCAGGCAATTATCAAGACCACGTTATTTGAACAGAGAAAATGTACTGTCCACTTGAGTTTTCTGGGTTCAATATTCAACAAGTGATCTAGAAAATTAGATGATGTTGTTTATGTCAGACTGATTACTAGAAGAGAGTTCATTCTTCTTTATGTAACCAGATTCCCATGTAAGATTTACATAATTTATTAAGACTTAGACATAATGTTGGGGCGTGTGAGTATTTCAGGCAGGCAGAAGACTCCGATTCAAACCTTTTACTTATACTACATGTATGTCATGAATCTACAGAGGCAGGCCTCTGACCATGGCACCTGAGTGGCTTCTACAGTTATCTCTTTTACTTATGACAGGCTTGTCTTCTCTCCTTACCCCAAATTTTAACAGCTTCAACACAGCAGATTGGT